GTGGCGCGGATCCAAGCGGCGGCGGCAGGGTAGGAGGGATGTGGATGCCCGGAGCTGCCCCGCGCCTGGCTATTCCAGCCATGCTTGAACTCCCAGGAGTCCGAGCATGGCTGGGAGACAGGCCACGGTGCAGATCCAAGCGGCGGCGGCAGGGGGGGGGGGATCGAGATGCCTTTCAGTGCTTCGCCTGGAGGGCATCCGGACACCCCCTACCCTGCTGCCACCGTGCTGAGAGCCTTCCGAGATCTCAAGGGGCTTTCTCCAATGTCGGGGGGGGGGCTTTGAGAGCTCGGAAGGCAAATGTTGCCAGTCGGCAGGGGCTTCAGGGCCCTTCCGAGGCCGCTGCCGACCGCCGCCATTNCTTTGGAAGGGTCCTTCCGAGGCCACCGCCCTGAGGGCACCCTTCGGAGGCTCCCGCCGCTCAGCTGTGGGAAAATGGGGCCTATGGGGAAAAATCGCAAAGCGATTTTTCCCCATAGGCAACATCGCAATGCGATCGCAAAAAAGCCATCGCTATACGGATTCGTTGTTAAACGGGGCACTCGTTAAGCGAGGCACCACTGTATAAAACTCTCCCATTTTTTCACTAAATACAGTCACTTTTAGGTGAGGGAAATACGAAGCTGTTGAGACCAGTCTTAAATGTATATGGGCAGCACAGATGTAAAAAGAAATCTTATTTCCCCTTTCCATAGGAGCACCTTGGTTAAATTAAAATACAATCACTCTTAGGTGAGGGAAATACGAAGCTGTCGAGCCCAGTCTTAAATGTATATGGGCAGCACAGATGTAAAAAGAAATCTTATTTCCCCTTTCCATAGGAGCACCTTGGTTAAATTACCAGGATCATAATGTAGATGTGCAGGAGTAAGAGAAGCAGAAAAGATTATCAGCCTGTACTTATTCTGGCAACACCAGTGGTGCCTGTTTTAGTTACATACTGTTTTGTCCTCTGTGTTAATAGCAATAATCTTAGAAATCCAGGGCTGGAAGGGACCCTATGGATCATCAAGTCCAGCTCCTGTCAACCTAAACCACTAAGCTATCCAGACGTTTCCAGA